GTCGACTCAGTAGACAAAATTGTCACAAATGTTTCAGTTGAATATTCAATTTTGTTCAATTTTACCTTTGTTTTTCGCATTGTATTGTTTTTTTCCATTTTGTTGGACGCAGTATGCAAATGATGATGATGATGATGATGATGATGTTATTGATAATATTAATTTAATTTGCCTTCGAGCAATTGATTGCATCACATGGACACGACAAGAGAGAGAGAGAGAGAGAGAGAGAGAGAGAGAGAGAGAGACAATCAGTCAAAATTATCCCCCAAAAAGACAAAAGATAATCGAAAAAAAGATAGAAAAAAAGTTTAATTATCATAAAGCCAAATTCAAACTAAAATTATTACAATGTTTATTTGAATGTCAAAGATTTTTACTGTTTTTGTGATTGACAACAACGAAATTAACTTTTTTTTTCTTCTTAGCTAATTAAAGATTTGTTTTTTTTCTTCTTATTTCGTATATGGTGGTGGTTCATGTCCATGATCAAAAACGATGGATGATCGAATGATGGTCAATCTTTTTTTTATTAGAGTTTGAGGCTAAATTATCCCTGTTACTGTTGTTGTTGTTGTTGTTATCGTTGACCGATAACCAAAAATAAAACAAAAAAACATGAAATGAAAATGATTGAATACTTCATTTGGCAAAAAAATCACTTCACTTCACTTCATTGATTGACTTTTGTGGTGGTCAAGAAAAAATTCCTAATTAAACTTGTTTATCTTTCGGCTATGTTTTTTGGTTCAAAAATGAAGATTTTTCTGAATCAAAAATCAAAATTTTCAAAAAAACAGAAACGAAAAACGAGAATTGAAAAAAAATTATTTCGTTTAAAAGATGCTTTCATCAACAACAACAATCAGAATATGTTTTTTTTTTGGGTTGACAAGTAATCAGATAAGCTTTTTCTCTCTCAAAAAAAAACAAACAAGGCAATATTGTAATGATCGTTGAAAGTTTGTAAAGTTTTTTGTCTCTGGTTGAATAAGATGAATTAGATTGATGTTGGATTCTGATTGCTTTCCACCAAACGTTGATTACGTATTTTGTTTTTCGCTGTTTTTTTGCCACAAAATGTCCCAGTTCGAAGAAAACATGTTGAAACAATTTAGTTTCGGCTTTTTTTGGTCAACCAAAACACAGAAACAAAAACAAATTTAATCAGTTTCGTGTTTTCTGTTTTCTGTTTTGCTCAATCTGATATCACCACCACCACCGACACAAGATTTGCAATCGATATTTGCTTTTGCTTACCAAAAAATGGCACGAGACACAATTTGGTTGATTTGGTTAGTTACATGGTTGGTTATCTTTGGATATTTTTGGTGTTACATTATCAAATCTAGAATTGTCGCAATTCTTGTCGTTTTATTCGTTAGTTTTTTCCTGGGCAAACCAGAAAAATCCCGAAAAAAACGATACAAAAGTGTATCTCAGATACAGAGATTGCTTACGGCTTTTTTCCTCTTGTTGTTTTGGGTTGAAAATTTCCAGTTTTTTTGGTTGGGTTCGGTGTCATTTGTGTGTGTACCCGATTAGACAAAGATTGAACCAACGACGACAACGATAACTGTGTTTGACTGACTGTCAAAATTATGATTAATAAGGTTTGCGTGCAACATTGAAATATCTTTGTGTGTTATATCTTTGTCTGTGTAGATCCATGGTGGAAATATTTCTTTTTTTTCAAAGGTTTTTTTTTGTTCAGTTTGGTTCGGTTTCATTCAGTGTCATTTGGCGTTTATTCATCGGATTCGGGTGTGTTGGTTGACTGGCTGGTTGGTTTCCTTCAACTTTCAACTTTTTATTTTTGATATCAAAAGTTTTATCTGCTGGTTTGTTACTTGGCTAAAATGTAGATCAAAAGCATATGTTGTGTGAAAATGTTTGTTGTTGTTGTTATTGTTGTTGTTGTTGCTGAAAAAAAAGATTGACGGAAATGAAATGAAGTTTTTTGGAAGAATTTCATCAATAGGCAAAATTAATGAAAAAAAATGAATCCTATAATGTTTTTTAATCAACAAAAACAACAACAACATTATCATGAATTGAATTAGTAGACTTACCTTGATTAAAATTTTCTCTCTCTCTCTCTCTCTCTCTCTCTCTCTCTCTCTCTCTCTCTCTTACCTCTCTCTCTATATCTTTCTTTATTATTATCATCATCATCATCCATAAATGATGGTCACGATGTATCGTTTGGTTTTTTTTCATCAGAAATTCTTTTTCTTCATCATCAAATACCCAAAACCGAAAAAAAATTCAAAGATTATAAAGATCAAGATATGATGATTATCATTATTATAATATTTATAATTATAATTCTTTTTTTTTATTTTTCAAAAAACAAAATTCATATTCAATAGTTATTATCATTTTGGTCGTCTTTTCTTCAAGTTATCCAATCCTCCAATCTTTCATTTCATTCATAATATAGATGAAAGATATCCATGAAAATTCTTATTTCCATCATCATCATCATCATCATAATCATCTTTTGTTTTCTTAAAAGTTTAATCAAATTTTTCTTCTTGTTTCGTTTTTTGCATTTTTGCTTCAAGCATGATGTTCATGTCTTGTTGCTGTTTTGGTTGATTATTATGATGATGATGATAATTACAATGATGATGATGATGATGAACATTTGCTGAACTGAAATGAACGAAAAACATTGAAAACATGTAATTATTTTTCAATTTATTGGCTTGGCATTTTCTTTCTTCTTCTGATTTTCTTGCCTAATAACAATTATTTTCTGCCTATATACCTTTGTTGTTGTTTTGTTTTTGGTTTTTCACCTTTTTCCACCTTTTTTTTCATTTTGATTTTTGATCAGGAATCAAGAAATCAAGAAAATCGTGCCCATATACACTATATTCAACAACAGCACACAGGATATAGCAATGAAACGAAACGAAAATCACGCTTTTTTGTTTTGTTTCATCTATGGTCTGTGTGTTTATGTTTGGTTTCATTTCCATAATCAACTGAATGTGAATATCCTGCATATTTTCATAGACATTGCTGTTTTCTTCACTTCTTTTGATTGAAAATTTAACTTTGTTTTCGAAATGTTGTGTGGTGTTCGGTGTGCGTTTAAAAGTTATTATTAAACTTTTTTTTTCATCATCATTCTAATCATTGATTTTATCTTGTTTCTTTTCTTTCTTTCTGTCTATATATAGCTGAATGAAGATTGAAGAAGAAAAACATTATAGGCTCGAAAACCTGAAACTCTGAAAGAAAAAAAAAATATTCTTTTCTAAAACATTGGACAAGACAAGATAATATTATTCGACGAAAATGATGATGATGATCGGGGTCTGGTTTATTGAATAAAAATTTTGTTGTTGTTCAAATATGTCGCCCATATTGCGTGCCCATTTGATATTTTTTTTTCAGTTTTCAAAAAAAGAAAAANATGATGATGAACATTTGCTGAACTGAACTGAGCGAAAAACATTGAAAACATGTAATTATTTTTCAATTTATTGGCTTGGCATTTTCTTTCTTCTTTACAGATTTTCTTGCCTAATAACAATTATTTTTGCCTATATACCTTTGTTGTTGTTTTGGTTTTTCACCTTTTTCCACCTTTTTTATGATTTTTGATCAGGAATCAAAAGAAATCAAGAAAATCGTGCCCATATACACTATATTCATTCAGCACACACAGGATATAGCAATGAAACGAAACGAAACGAAACGAAAATCACGCTTTTTTAATGTTTTGTTTTGTTTTGTTTCATCTATGGTCTTTGGTTTTCATTTCCATAATCAACTGAATGTGAATATCCTGTAAATATTTTCATAGACATAGTGTTTTGCTGTGTGGTGTTCGGTGTGTGTTTAAAAGTTATTATTAAACTTTTTTTTTTTGTTTGAAGTAAAAATTTTCATCATTCTAATCATTGATTTTATCTTGTTTCTTTTCTTTTCTTTCTGTCTATATAGCTGAAGATTGAAGAAATACATTATAGGCTCGAAAACCTGAAACTCTGAAAGAAAATTCTTTCTAAAACATTGGACAAGACAAGATAATATTATTCGACAAAAATGATGATGATGATGATCGGGATCTGGTTTATTGAATAAAAAAATTGAGTTTTTTTCGTTTGTTGTTCAAATATGTCGCCCATATTGCGTGCCCATTTGATATTTTTTTTTCAGTTTTCAAAAAAAGAAAAAGAAAAACTTTGAAAATCAATAATTTCTTCTCGTTGGTTGGATGGTTGTTCCAAGTATATCGTGACAGTTTTTTTCTGACGAAAAAACTTACCTGAAATTTTGGTTTGCATAAAATTCACAGAAAGAAAAACTTATCTGAAATTGACAATGACATTAATCTTTGACGATCCATTTTCTTTTTTTGGTTGATTGATTTGAATGAATTTAATTTTTGACTTGAAATTAGTAAAAAAACACACATTGGATTTTTTGGATTGAAAATTTGAATATATTTTTTTAAATATAATTTCATTTGGTTTTTTTTGCTTTATAAATCAATAATGATTTGGATAATTAATAGTTAAAAATTTACAATTTTTCAATAATAATAATTGAGAAATAAATTGAGACAATTGATGAATTAAGTAAAATCTGAAATATCAATTGTTTTGTTTGTGTGTGTGTGTAAAGAAACTGAAAGAATTTACATCATTTGATTTTTGAAGAAAAAAAAAACAGAAATATGAATTTCTAGATAAAAGTTTTGTTTTTGAAAGAAAAATATCATACAAACATACAAACACACACACAAAGAGATGATCAAGTGAAAAAAAACCAAATTAGAATAAAGAATTTTTACCTTTACTTTTTAAATAATATCAATTATATAATAATAATCAATTATAATCAGCTATAAATTCATAAACTTAATTGATGGATGTTTGAAAAAATGATGAGATGCGAAATGAAATGAGAGAGAAAATTACAACCGAATGAAAAAAACAAATGTTATCAAGATGATGATGCTGAAGTGTTAAATTCTTCTTCTTTTGCTTTTTGGAATGTGTGGACATGAGATAATATTTTCTTCAGTTTTTGTTGTGTTTATTTTACAAGTTTTTTGTTTTGTTTTGCACCAAAAGATATTTATTTGCAGCAGGCAAGGATATTACATCTGACCAATAGATGATCCACTACCATCACTTAATTTTGGTGATATTGATGATGCTGGATTTGATGAATCAGAATGTAGAGAATTTGATATTGGTAATGATGGTGGTGGTGATATTGATGTTGTTGTTGTTGTTGTTGAATGATTATCCATAGGTACTAGACCTTCTTTTTGTCTTTTTTTCTGTTTCATACGACGATTTTGGAACCAAATCTAATTTTGTAAGAAAAAAAGCAAAAAAAAACATTGAAAAAAAAACAGAAATTAAAAAATTACATAAGAAAGACAGAAAGAAAAGAAAAGAACAGAGCAAAAATTGATGCGGCTTAAAATTAATCAAATGAAAATGAAAGATGCTTTCTTTCATTTCATTTCTGAAACAACGACAACAACAGCTGGCAATAAACACAATAAACTTTTTTTTTCTTCCTTTTTGTTGTTGTTGTTGTGGAAGAAAAGCTGCTTCAACAAGAGAATGAATATCACAAACACACTTACGACACACACACATCAAAAACCATCATCATCATCATCATCAAGATGGCAAGATTCAAGACTCGAACAAAAAAAGTTCACCGAATAAAAAGTTCATATCATTCGGTTTCCATTCATTTCACACACACACAAAGATATACACAAGTTTCAAATCAACGAACAAAATGAACGAATCATGAACAACAGTTGAAAAAAGTTCGTTCGTTCAAAGTAATTTTCCTATCATCATCATCATCGACATCGACATCGACATCCACTATACACTATATAAATGAAAGAAGTAAGGAAACGACAAACGAACAAAACAAACGAAAAACTCAATGATAATAAGAAATTGTCGAACCGAGAAATGAAAAATTAAAACAAAATATGAAAGACAAGACAAGACATGCTGTTTTTGTTTTTTTGGCACAATTGTGTGTTTGTTTGGAACAATTTCATTTCATTTTTCGGACAAAAAGGCATTTTGTTGTTGTTTTTCAAACTTTTCGATATCAATTTTTTTGATCGGGAAATTAAAAATGAAATGCCCGGTGATGATATACATTCTATTCTCTTTTAGTACAGGCATCGAAAATAAAAAAACGAACATATTTTTTCGATGATTCATATTTAGAGGGGGAGGGAAAGAAATTCTCGTAGAAAATCAAAAAAAAAAACGGAAAACTTACTTTAACTTGTGTTTCATTCAATTGTAATGCAGTTGCAATTTCAATACGTCTTGCACGTGTTAAATATTTATTAAAATGAAATTCTTTTTCCAATTCGGTCAGTTGTTTTGTTGTGAAATTTGTACGTCCTGTATTATTTGCACCTTGACCACCATTACCACCACCACCATTACTATTACCACCATTTGATGAATTTGAACCGGGTGAATTTTGTGAATGCATTGATGAACCTAACGTTGATGATGATCCACCATTATTTGTTAATCCACCAATACCATTATTATTATTATTGCCTAATGGTCCTAATGATGAATTTGGTGATAGATTACCATATGAATATTGATCTACTATATTTGGTTTTTGTGCTAAAAAAATTTTTGAAAAAAATGACAATAAAATAATGAAAAAAATAATTACAAAATCTAGGACAACCGGTTGTTGTTTTCATTGAAATAAATATGGTTAAATGTAATTTGTTATTTGAAAATTCAAAAAAAAGAAAAAAACATTTCCAGATTCAAATCTAAATTGACTAGTTTTTTCGTTTGTTGTTCCAAATTGATTATTACAATATTTTCTTTTCGCTGTTCAATTCAGCCAAGAACTGTGTTCAGGGAGCCCAGCAAAAAAAAAATATTTCGTTTAGGTAAAATTGAATATAAAAAACAATTTATCATCACAACCAAACAACCAACCAAACAAACAAACAGTAAGATAAATGGTCAAATACAAACATAAAAACATAAAAAAGATCATTTATCATTTAATGAGAGGAACGAAATAGTATTGAAGAAGAAAAAAAAACACGTGTGGTTCGCGTACCGACAACTATGAAAATGTTGATGATGAAAATGATGAATTTATATTCATATTGGATAAATGTTTATTCACATTTGACTTTTTCTTGACTTCATTTTCAGTTAGACACTGGATAATGAAGAAATGAAGTAAAACTCTTGAAAAGTTCACAAATATGAAAAATGACAATCGAAGAAGTAAAATTGATGAATTTTTCTTTTTTACGAAGAAAAACGTAAAAAAAATATATAATTCATATTAATGATCTTCTTTATCCTCCTCAACTTTTTCTTCTTTTCTTCTTCAAGCAAGCAAGCAAGCAAATTGAATTTTCTGTCTGTGCTTTATATATTCATTTTTTTTTCTTTGACAATTTGCATATTTGATAATGAAAAATTATGTTTTTTTGGTTCAGATTTTTTTTTTGGCTTTTGAATTATTTTGTCGTACACTGTGTTAACAACTTTATTATTTCGAGAAAGAATGAAAGACAGGAAAACGTTACATTTGTAACCAAAAAATGGATAATGATTTTCTGTTTGTTTGTTTGTTTGCTCTACTTTTTTTTTTTTTGGTTTCCCTTCTCTAATGAACACTTAGGTAGGTAGGTGGGTGTATTTTTTTTTCTACCTGCCTGTTATGATAATGATGATCGTCATAATCATTATTCATGATAATTAATTATTATCGAAACGAAACCGGTAGTGTGTATTTATTTATTTATGTGTGTGTGTGTGTGTGTGTGGTACATACATACCAAAAATCAATTGATCATATGTCAAACTGAAAACAAAACAAAACAAAGATATTATGATTCTATTCAATTCAATTTTTCGTTTGTTTGTTAGTTAGTTTTTTTTTCATTTTTGGTCATTTGTTTTCCTGGGAATTTTCCCTTATTTTTATAATTTTTGTTTTTGTTTTGCTAATGTAGTTTGTGTCACACACAGGTGCATATCATTGGATCAATTCAGAAAAAAAAGAAAAAAATGGAAAAATTTTTTTGACATTTCAATTCACACACACACAAAAAAAATGACCAAAATGAATTAATTGATTTTTTCCTTCGACAATGTTTTTCAACAACAACAACAATGAAACAATGGAAAAAAAGAAACATAATGACACAGAATAGAGGAAACAAAAACAAAAAAAAAATTCTTTCATTTTTGTTTCTGGAACGAAAACGTTGATTGTAACTAGTTTTTCATTAAAAAAAAATTTTTAGTTACTATCAACCACATTTTAAATCACGTATGATAATGATCATTAACTTGTTAATTCTTTTTCTGGTGGTTGGTTATTTGTTTTTCCGGAATTGTTAGCTAGATTTACACACAGAAAGAGTTAATTTAAAAATAATTAGACTTTTTTTTTTGTTAACCCCTTTGCATTCTTCTTTCACCCAAAATTGAAAATTCCAAACGGGTTTTTGTGTGAAAAGCTTGTTAGCAACGGCGGAAAAAAAAGTTTTATGTATGTGTGCATTAACGCAAGAAAGAAGGGAAAGAAAAGTTTATATGTTTTTAATAATCTCTCTTCATCATCACCATCATCAACATCATTAGAGGAAAATAATATTCAGGAATCCTGAAACACAACATGTGTGAATTACTCCTTTTTTTTCTTCATTTTCAAACAAATCAATCATTTCAAAATTGGACGATTATTATTAAATTAAAATATCACTAATGAGGATGCTTTTGTTTTCTGTTTTTCTGTTGTTTGACTCGAATATAGGACCGAAAAATCAAAAATCAGTGCATGTGATTTCTATTTGGAAAACCAAAAGAATTGATAGTGAATTGGAAATGATTTTAAATCGAAATTCTTTTGGCAAAAAATCAATTCTTTGAAACATGAATTTTCGCTTTAAACATTTGAAAAACAAAAACATAAGCCATGTGTTTTGTTTTTTTGATTCTTTCCAAACGACAACAACAGAAAAAAACTTTTTAGCTTTTTCTTGCTGGCTGTTGGGAATTGTGAATTTTTGTTCCATGTTTTTTTTCATCATATGATTTGTATCATCAACGATCATTTTACTATCTTGATCACTATTCTCTAATGGTAAAAAAATTTTTGACATAACACAGGGTTATGAATATCCTATAGTGATGAATGAAACAAAAAAATCTGTCGATTTTTTTTCTTTCCTGGTTAACAAATGTGATTGAGTGGCCACTTGGGTATATCATCATTCAGCGATTTNATTCTTCTTTCACCCAAAATTGAAAATTCCAAACGGGTTTTTGTGTGAAAAGCTTGTTAGCAACGGCGGAGAAAAAAAGTTTTATGTATGTGTGCATTAACGCAAGAAAGAAGGGAAAGAAAAGTTTATGTGTTTTTAATAATCTCTCTTTTCATCATCACCATCATCAACATCATTAGTTGAAGAATAATATTCAGGAATCCTGAAACACAACATGTGTGAATTACTCCTTTTTTTCTTCATTTTCAAACAAATCAATCATTTCAAAATTGGGCGATTATTATTAAATTAAAATATCACTAATGAGGATGCTTTTGTTTTGTTTTGGTTGTTTTTCTGTTATTCTGTTGTTTGATTCGAATATAGGACCGAAAAATCAGAAAATTGATAACCTGTGAATGTGATTTCTATTGGAAAACCAAAAGCAACAGCAGAAGTAAATTTGAAATGATTTAAATCGAAATTCTTTCGCTGAAAATCAATTCTTTGAAACATGAATTTTCGCTTAAAACATTTGAAAACAAGAACATAAGCCATGTGTTTTGTTTGATTCTTTCAAACAACAACAACAACAGAAAAAAAACTTTTTAGCTTAGTTTGCTTGCTGGCTGTTGGGAATTGTGAATTTTTTCCATGTTTTTTTTCATCATATGATTTGTATCATCAACGATCATTTCACTATCTTGATCACTATTCTCTAATGGTAAAAAAATTTTTGACATAACACAGGGTTATGAATATCCTATAGTGATGAATGAAACAAAAAATCTGTCGATTTTTTTCTTTCCTGGTTAACAAATGTGATTGAGTGGCCACTTGGGTATATCATCATCATTCAGCGATTTTTTTGTTCCGTTGCTGTTGTCATTCATTTCATTTCATTCATAGGAATCATTTCACCATTATCTCTTTTATCAATTGGAAAAAAAATGTTTGCTTGTATGAAAATCAAAATCAAAATCGAAAAAGAAAAAATTGGTTAAAAATCCCTAATTGATTGATAAATGGTTTTTTCTCCTTTCTCCTTATATCACCAAATCTCTACCCTGTATCTCTCCCCTGCATTGTTGGTTAGTGTTAAGTTTGTGTTATGTGTGTAATGGATGAATTGATTATTTTTTTTGCACTTGTTTCTTACCTGGTTTAGGTATATTACGTTTAACTTGCATCCATTTATATTGCGGTACCGCAGTTGGTATTGTAGGTGGCTGCGATGATGGTTGTTGTTGTTGTTGTTGCGATGGTACCATTGTCAAAAGATTATTATTATTATTACTTTGATTAGAACTATTTCCAGTCGATAATGATAAACGATTTGTTATTGATGATGGTGGTGATGTTGCTGTTGCTGCTGCTGCTGATGGTGATTGTATTTGATGTGAATGTTGTTGATGTTGTTGATGATGATTATGATGATGATTTGAATGAGAATGATGTAATAATGATGGTGATGTTGATGATGATAATGTACCATAATGATGATGATGTTGTTGTTGTTGTTGATGATGATGTGAATGATTCATATTTAAATGATGCGGCTGCTGTTGTTGTTGATGGTGTTGATGATGATGATTCGAATGTTGCTGTTGCTGATGATAATGTGATGGATGATGTAAATGTTGTTGTTGCTGATGTTGTTGATGATGATGATGATGATGATTCATTGTTTGATGAACATTCATCATTGATGATGGTGGTACTATTGGTGGTGCATATGTTCCAGTTGCTGTTGCTGTTAAACCATTCATCTGATGATGACCAGATAATGATCCAACACCCATATCGATTGTCCATGATGATGATGGTGATGATATATTATTACCAACAATAGGATCCATCAATCCATATGTTGCTGCTGTTGGTGATGAACCATTTTGATGTAAATGATGATGATGATGATGACCACCATTTGACATTAATGTACCATTTCTTAATGATGATGATGCTGAACGACCAATTGTATCAAAATATGATCCGGATGATGATGAATAACCACCACCACCACCACCACCAATCATACCAATAAGTGAATCATTGGATACACCCGCTATGGATGGTGATGTATTTCCACCATTATTTACCGGACTATCATTTGTGGTTGTTGTTGATGATGATAATGGATCATTTGATGTTATTCCAGGCGTACCTGTATTACCCGAATCAATTCCGGTTCCTATTACTGTTCCATTATTTCCCGAATAATCTTTATATAAAGATGATTGCCGTGTTGTTGTTGTTGTTGTTGGTGTTATCGATGTCGACGACGATGATGAAGTCGAAGGATAAAGTAGATTGGACATATGCGAAGATAATGTTGGCGATTCTGACGACGATGATGGACTAATATTTCCTGTTGCTGTTGTTGTTGTTGTCGATTGTTGTTGTTGTTGATATTGTTGACTATGAATCTGCGATCTTGTTGCCGCTGAATGATATGATGATGCGGCGGATGATGAGGAATGATGATGATGATTAGGCACCGGTGGAATATTATATTGATTTATTGTTGTCGATGTTGTTGTTGTTGTCGGTTGAATCGCTGTTGATGATGATGATGATGATGATGATGACGAAGATGATGATGATGATGTTGTTGAATTATTAGTTAAATCTAGATTTGTATAACTAAGACCATTTGTTTCCGATATTATTGATGTATTATTATTATTTGTTGATTGTGGTGATGTCGATGTTTGTTGTTGTTGATTATCGACATTTGTTCCAAATGTTGCCGTTGATGATGATGATAATATTGGTGGCGGTAATGGTGGTATATGAAATGGTGGTGTTGTTGAATGATGATAATGATTTATTGATGATGATGGTGGTGTCGTTGATAATGGTAATGTTTGCTGTTGATGATGATGATGATGATGTAAATGTGGATGTTGTTGTTGTTGTTGATGATGATGATGATTTGTAACAGCTAAACTTCCACCATTAAATCCAATACCGGTTAAATCTGTTGATGGCGGTGTCGGTTGATAATAATTTGTTAAATCAGCTGCCGTTCCATATGGATTATGGTGATATCCTTGATGATGTGTATGATGCGAATGATGGTGAGCAGCAATCGCATGATGATGATGATATTCAGCAGCAGCAGCTGCTGCGGCAGCTGCTGCTGCCGCTGCCGCTGCATTTGTTGTCGCTGATGATACCATTGTTGTATTACCACCAATATTTTGATGACATTGCATTGCAGCACTACCACCACCACCATAAACAATATTTGAGTTCATAATCATAGTTTTTGGATTTAAAATATATTTTTCAAAGATTCTTTCTTTGTCAAAATTACAGAATCGTAAACATTAACTCACACACACAAACACTGATTGATTGATTGATTTTAAAGCAATTAGATCATCATCATCATCAACAGCCAGACACAAACAATGTTGTCATTTGAATATCAATTTCCAATGATGATTATGAAATGAACATTGAAAAAAAAATTTTCTAATCAAAAAAAGTTAGTTCTGATCATTCGCCTAGTTGTGATGATCGTCAAATATATCTTTGAAACAAATGTTGATTGTTAGAAAAAAAAGAGCAAAAGAAAATTGTTTTTTTTTCTTTTTTCTTTTCTTTGAAAATTTCAAAATCAATCCGGTGTTGTTATTGTTGCTATTGTGAAAATAGTAGTAGTTGAGGAAAAAAAAATTGCACACTTTTTAGCTGATGTTTGGCTTGTGTTTCGATTGAATTCAAATTCAAATTCTCATCCTTAATTTTACTGAATGTTTTTTTTGATCGAAGCTTCGGTTGTCATACAGGTATTTCAAGCTGTTGATGATGATGATGAATTTTTTTTCAATTCTGATGATGATAATAGTGACACAGGATAGACAACGACGATGAAAAAACTTGTTTCTCTTGAATCTCATTTGATCTACACACAAACGAACGAAACAAATTTCCAAATAAAAATTATTCTCTTTGTATCAAACACAGACACTCTTTTTTTGTTGTTTTGTTTGAAGAAAAAAATGTTTTCTTTTGTTAATAAATGATGGTTGATTGAATAAAATGATGATTTTTTTTTTTTTTTTTTTTTTTTTTTTTTTTTTTTTTTAAATTTTTATTTTTTAATTTATTTTAACCTAAA